GATTTATTTCACTTTTGATGCTCTGCATGTTTTTCTTCACAAAAACAATCGATTAGATCCTTGACTCAATCGATTTATTTTACTTCGATAAATTTACAATTGCAAAAACAATTGATTTCATGAAAAATCAATTGGTTAATTTTTCCTAGGGATAGTAGTGTATGCTCTGCCTCTAAACAATTACTCGCAGATTGGGTTGAAAGCATTTACAACGGGATTTCCTTCAACTACTCTCTTAAATATTAGAGTTATCCAAATAAAAGCTTATTGACTCCGATTGGATATCGGATGTGAGGGTAATTAAGGTGTACAGTAAAAATACTCTCTCTCTCCACCTTTACCATCATTACGGCTGACGCAGAAGCAAGTAATACATTAAAGACAAAATCGTGAAGACGAAGGGACCGTGTGTTCTCATATAGTAGTGTTTGAAAAGCTTATACTTTTCCTCGTGAAACATTCTCTCTTCTCTGTTTTTCTTCTGTTCATTCCACAAATCATCATGCTCAAACGCACCAAATCCGGAAGGAAGAAGTTCAAGAAAGGAGAGTCCTCTCGTCGTCGTGCAAGGAACATCGGTAGGAGGGCGCATTGAATCCTGTTCAATGAGAACCAAGAGAAGATGGATTTGTTCATTCATGAAATGAGCAGGAAACAAATCAATATACCAAAGGTTCTAAAATTTTCATGGTTTGATGTTGAAGGTTTCGAAGGGTTCGGAAACTATCGCAACATCGAAACTTCGAAGTTTCGGAACTAAATGGTAGGATTTACCTCGACTCGATTAAAGTCTTTTTCACCAACTTGTCTTTTGAAGGGTCTACTCTAAAAACTCAAGTCAAAGGAGTGGACATTGAAATTACTTCCAATGTCTGGAAAGAGGTTGCTGGACTCAAGGATGAAGGTGTAAAAGTCACCAAAGGGCATACCTCGGAAGTAGAAGAATTTAACAAAGTTCAGTACTTTCGTTCTTGTCTGAAGAATAGGCATGACTCCGTAAGTTCCTTCAACACTGGAAGGTTGAAGCTTGAGGAAAGGGTGCTCGCGTTCATTATGTCCTGGCAGCTCACACCCGGGGGAGCAATCATGCAAGTACTAAATGAAGGAGATTTGGTATCGATGTACCGCATTCACCACGTAATAAGGGTGAACTGGGTTTTTGTCATCAAGGACCACATGATCAAAGCTAAGCGGCTAAGTGATTTCAGATATCCTTATGCTACTTTAATTTCTAAGTTTTTAACTCATTTTGGTGTTGATTTGGAAGGTGAATTAGTTGAAACTGTTCGTCCAACAAATGAGATCAATAACTCTGTCCTTCATAAAATGGGATTCATTAAAATCGACGGTGAATGGATTTCCAAAGAAGAAGCAGGAAGAGAAGAAGAAATTGATGAAGAAGAGCAAGAGGAAGATGTCAATACTGGTGTCCTGGGTACGTCTGCAGCAAGATCATCAGACCCGATGGAAGAGCAGTGTCCTTTAGAAATGATTCCATATATTCCACAACCTGACCGTGGCACGCCTCTCTCACAGTTCGAAAGAACCATGCTGCATCAGATGGATGAACTGCAAACCAATCAAAGGAGGCACATGGAGATGACGGTTGCTCTGCGGGCTTGTCAGCATTATCTGGATGAAAATTTCATTGTCAGATTTCAACACATTGACAATCAATTGGAAGATATCTACAACAGGATTGTTGATCTGCAGTTTAATCAAGGTCCCGGGAACGGGGATGAATGAAGGCTTATTTTTTTATTTTTCTCTGTCTTTTCCTTTTATTTTTGGTACCTACGTGGTACTATTGGACTGTAACTAAAACACTTTATTTGATGCAGTCAAATAGGGGGAGAAGTGTTTGCTTAAAATGTCACTACACACACACCACAAAATCATATATGTCTCTATTATGTTATTGAATTGTGCAGGTGCAGTGGATATTTGTCTCCATCAAATAGGGGGAGATTGAAGCACTTGGTGGATTTGATGAACACTTGATGAAGACATATTTGTGTTGGTATAGTTTAGTTTGTGGGTGTGTAGAGGGATAAGTTAGAAGTATAGGAACTTAATCTCTTGATAGGCTAATAAATCTTGTGATAAGCGCCTTAAAATGATGCATCTCATTGAAATCATTTTCTGCATGAAAAACTAACATTTAAACATTAAAAGAACAAACTAAGTTTTTTTCAATTTGTTGAAAAGAAATTTCAATCTGTTAAAAACATTTAACATAAGGAATATTCTTATAGATTCGAAATTTCAATTGGTTGAATCGCAGAATTAACAGGTTAAAATGTTTTAATAATTTTTCATGTATTACAGGTTTCGCATTTTCAATTTGTTGAAATATTTTTTAATCTGTTGGAACAGAGAGACCATCTTTTTTAGTCTAAGTGTTTTTCAAAACTTCAATCTGGTGAAATATTTTTTAATCTGTTAAAACAAAAGAGACTATTTTTCTGACTAAGAGTCTACAGGATTTCAATATGTTGAAAGGTTTTTTAATCGATTGAAACAAAGAGCTGTCATTTTTCTTTAAGCTATTTCAATCCATTAAAAACACGAATCAATCGACTGAATGAAGTTTTAAATGAAATCAATCGGTTGAATCGTCATTTTAATCGATTGAAATACGTTCTGATCGATCATAATTTAATTCTGATCGATCATAACTTGTTCTAATCGGTCATAATGTTGTTCTGATCGATCATTTACGTCTCTGGATCAGTTTTTATCAGGTCAAACGGTCTGGTTCTCTCTTTTACTCTATAAATACAGTTTTGATATATCTTTTGAAACATACAATTTGAGAAATTTTTTGAAAGCAATCTTTGAGCTATCACATCCGTGACTTTCTCTATGCATTCAAGAACTTTTCATATCATAAGGTGCTTTGATCAAGATTGTTGTTAATCGAAGAGAGAAAGTGCTGAGTTAGATTTGCTTCTGGACAATTGTATTGATAAAGCTTCAGTCCAGGTTTTTTCTTTTCATACTCTTGTGTAAAGTGTGGTTGTGCAGATTGGATTTTGGATCTGCACGTGTTACAGTAACTAGATTTGGTTACTGGTAGGTTTTCAAGAGTCTATCTTGTGGGTTTGCAAGATAGTTCTTGGGGTAGATTGGTGAGTATCTACTAGTTGTAATTTTCACTTGGTATTAGTGGAACTTGGCAGATTTGTCAAGAACTGGACATAGCTCTGGTGAAGAGTGAACTAGTATAAATTGTTGTGTTGAATTTCTTCTTTCATCTCCTTTATTTCCTGTCTATATACTTGCTGTGATTAAAATCAACCTACCTACACAAGAATTAAATAAAGATAATTCATTCTTCCAAAAGAAAGTAAGTTTTGCGAAAAAGTTTTCAAAAGTTCAATTCACCCCCCCCCTCTTGAACTCAACCATTAATTCTTTCACTAATTCATTTTTCTTCTTGATTCATCGATTAAAACTTATTTTCTATGGTTAGATTTGATTCTTAATGATTCTAACCGATTATAATCCATTACAAACAATGTGAATGAGGTTATTTGATTGAATGTTTCTTTAACATCATAATTCAACTTTTAGGTTTAAGTGATTGCTTGATTTAGGAATTGAGTTGTAAATACGAATTTCAATTGAATTGTAATTAATTGGAACTGTTGTAGATTTGTTATTGTGATTGCAAGACAATTCCATAAAAATCAATGATAATCATAAAAGAAACTTTATAATTTGAGAATCAATACAATTTCTTCACTGTTTTTCATCAACTTTTACTTTGATTTTGTTTTACTTTCAAACTTAGTTTACAATGTTCTTTGCATTTAAAGCTTTCTTAGATCAGATTTAAAAGCTTTCATTTAATGTTTTTATTTAAAATGTTTTCTTTAATTGCTTTCATAGTATAAGTTTACTATTTTCCATTTAATTTCTGCATTAAAAATCCAAAAAGTCCCCTATCTCCTATCTTTTGACATAAAAAAATTAAGATTTGAAACAAAACCAAGCAATTTTCCTCAAGATATGACCTAGGTCAAATCTTAATATTGCATTACTTTAATTGTAAATTGTTTTATGGAATCTAAACGACAAGATTAACTTCATCAAATAGCTCACATGTATTGAATGTCTCATGTGTCCAACTTGACTTGGTTAACACTTGTCAAAAATGTAGTTAATGTAACACAAAATTGGTTATGTTAGTTGTTCATCTATACAATTGAGTTTATAAAGTCATTGGCAAGTCATTTATTTTATTATTCCTTATGCTCCATGGCTATGATGTTGCCAAGTTCACTTTTCTAGTGAGTAATTGTCGTCGCTGTCAAAAGAGGCGGTCGGAGCGACGCGATGGTCTTTTGATTCGACTCGCGTTTTAAAAAGTGTGGTCATCACCCTTAGGATGTCCGATAACCGAACTTTTTTAAGGGTGAGGTTTTCATAAGTAGGTTCTGGAGTCGCCACCAATATTTTAACCAAAAACATTGAAAAAGGAAAAAAGAAGGCGATGGTTTTAAGAAAAACCAACTTTGGTCATTACAACCAAAGTTAGGTAAGGGAGTTAGTTACGTGCGAGGAAGGTATTAGCTTCCCCACGATGCCCCTTTTGGGTTCCCTATGATGGACTATTATTTTTTAAAATAAGAACATTAAAATAATGCTTTTACCCTTATTTATTCATTGCAAAATTTAAATTATTGACTACATGGCCCTAATAACTAATGCACAGAGATGGTAACTAATAAAAGCGATAAAATAGAGTAAGGGATATAGAGGAACCTTCGAAGCAAGCTTTTTTGTCATTCATAATAAGTGTATCAAGATATTTAAGAATTACATAAGAATAAAGCCATAAAATAAAGTTGCAGAGTACATATTCTACTGCCAACTTGTTAAACTTGTATAACACCAATAACATTGAATTGATGTCTGCAAAAAGAATTTAACAATGTTGTAGAGAGGCTAAAAACAACATATCAAGCATGCATACAAACATAACAACCTCATTCTCAAGCATGAATGAACAATATCATGTATCTTCCAATTAAGAGGGAAAATAGTGTAAATATCAATTTGACTTCTTTCCTTGGAGACAACCCAAAAGTAGCAAGACACAGATGAATCATAACCTAAGTATCTTTACATATTATGAGTCACAATAACATCTAAAGAAACATTCAAAATTGATGTCTAAAAATATATTAGATAAACAGAACAAGTGAACAAGTGGAACACATCAAATAACACTTGCTTTACCAAAAGACGAGCAAGGCCACCATAGGTTGCAGACATAGATCCAGGCAACCACAATACTAATCCAAACACAAATCAAAACAGTCCCAAGCAGATCCAATAGTCATAGATGCAAATTGGTCAATTCATGCATCCAACAAAATAAATTGGCCACAAACAAAGCAATTCTCATCTAAGCAGATTAAGGCAGAAGTGTAAAAACCAAGCAGCATAAACACAATGAATAAACACAAAAATGAAAAAAGGAAGAGAAAAATGTAAACAAACCCTCACGGCGAGCTAGGTTGCACCCAGAGTGAGGGCTTGAGATGCCTCGCGTGGTGGTAGAGGTGGCCTCATGGTGTAGGGCTCGTGGTAGGGGTGCGAGCCACGGTGGCTAGCGGTGAAGTGGGGTGAGCGGCTCGCAATGAGGACCTCGTGGTGGCGTTGGGGAGTTGGGAATGCACTTGTCATGGTGAAGGCGTAACTCCGAGGGGAGAAGGAGCTAGAGGATCATTGGCCTCGTGACTGGACAAAGGGAGAAATGTGGTGGTTGCGGCAAGGCATGGTGGCTCCAGTAAAGGGGGTGGCGCTGCAGGTTAGGGTTCAAAGTGGTGTGGCAAGAATGATTGGGTGTTGGGTGGCGCAATTGAGTTTTAGTGAGGTAGAGCGTAACGATTTGGAGATGAGAATGGTGCTGATGTGGCTTCGGTGAGAGAAACGCAGGGTTAGGTTCAAGGAGGCTCGGTGAGGGTGTGAGGAATGCTGAGATGGCTAGTCGCAGGGTAAGAGAGAAGGGAATGGGTCTGAGTAAAGGTATATGGAAGGGAGATTTGGTGTTGAGTGAAGGGGAGAAGGATCGCGAGGGGAGACGAGTGAAGCTCACTAAGGAGGAATGAGTGAGTTTGAGTGTTGCGAGGTGCGCTGGTGAGGTGAAGGGTCATCGTGTGGGTGAGAGGGAGGATGAAAATTAATTTTTTCTAAAACAAAATATATGTTAACAAAAGAAATTATTTTTTATTTTGTTTCAATCATATTTTTTTTATTTTAAAAACTAAAATATTAAAAAAAATAGAACTAATTTTCTTTTTAATCTTATTAATATTTTTAATTTTTCATATTTTTAAATAAATGTTGATATTTTTTTTACTTCAGAAAATTAGGTGCTTGACACTTAATGATTAAATCTTATGATTTTTATTTAAAATTATTTATGTTTAATTAAAAAATTCATAATAATTTAAATTTTATTAATTCTATAATTTTACATAATTATTACTATAAATTTAATTCTCCAATGAATAGTAATATTAACACATTTATTAAATTGAATCTCTTTATTTTAATTAATTATTTTAAATTTTTTTAAATGGATTTTTTTCAAATAAATATGATAACAAAAATATCTTTTAACTAAAACTATTAATATTAGATTATATTATTATGTTTAATTAAATTTTAAATATTTAAAATAAGTTTAATTAGTCTTTCCACTTATATGTAAAAATGATTAATATAAATTTAAAATATTTAACCAACCATTAAATTAACTAAATGACTTATTAATATAAATTTAAAATATCAATTCACTAATTAAAATAATTTTAAGTTTCTTATATATACATTAAAATATATTTTTATTAACATACACATAATATATTATATATATATATATATATATATATATATATATATAGAGAGAGAGAGAGAGAGAGAGAGAGAGACTAAATTAGTAATTGATTTAGTAACTGAGTTAATGATCGATTTAATGACCGAATTAATAACTAAATCGATGATTGATTCAATGATCGAATCGGTACTAATTTAATAACCAATTTTAAATTTTTTTTATTCACATGCTAAATTAAAAAATATAATCAAATAATTATATTACTAAATTATTTAATATATTTAATAAGTTATTAAACTATTTTTTAAAACATGTAATGTTATTAAATATATTATTAATTATTTTAAGTTATTAAATAGATTTATATTTTATATATTATTAAAATATTTCTAAAAAACATTTATATAAATGAAAAATAGTTATAGATTTAGTGACTATTTGTTTTGTGGCTGAAATTTTGATCACTGAATCAGTCACTAAATATTAAAAAAAAAATAGTGATTCAGTTATTATTAGTGACTAAATTTTTCAGTCACTAATTTCGGTCACTATTAACCATTTTTCTAGTAGTGTTCATACCAAAAGGTTGGGTATAACTCGAAAATTTGGTCATCTCCCACGTGTTGTTGCGTTCTATAACTCGAACATTCACATCCATAACAGCTTAGATTTTCTTGTCCACAATAACTTGGATCTTCTTATTCGCAACAACTTGAATCTTTTCATCCATAATAGCTCGAATCTTCTTGTCTACAATAATTCGAACAGGGTAGTTTCAAAATTTACTACTTAGACTTAGCTCGGCCAAGTTCGACTTCAGACTGAAAAAAGTGAGATCTGCAATATATCGACTATGTTGTTTTTTTCTCCTCCTCAGTAACAGCTCGATTTCCTCTAACGTCTTCATGCTCGGCTTCATCAAGTTGAACATCACGATTAACATCATGATTATCATCATGAATCAACTCAATTAGACCACAAAAATACAGGTGACTAGATTGATGATCTCTCTTCAATATCGTATCCTCTATGTTTACTTTCAGACACCTCTCCCGAATTCTTTTCAGCTGCAACACGTAAATTTTATTCTTCCCCATCTCAACTCCAGTAATCAATCTTCAAAGTTTGTCCTCCAATTGTAGTACTCGGTCTTTCATGAATACCAAGTAACCTCTCTCCATCAGTTGTCCCATACTCAAAATGTTACTCTTGATATATGAAACAAAATATACATCTTGGATTGACCCGATTAGGTCATCCCTTTATAAGAAGAAAAATGTACCTCGATCTTTTACTAAGATCTTTGAAACATCTCAAAAAGACACATGATCGCCCTCAACTTTCTCCAATTTGCTAAATAGGTGCTCATTCCCACACATATATGGTTATTTGCACCCTATCTAGACACCATACCGAGGTTTAATCGATATCTTCCTGAACTTCATTACTGTTATTTAACGAGTTATAATCATCTCTGATGTGTACTACTAAGTTATAATCGACATCCTTGTAATTTGTCGAGTTATGATCGGTCATAATAGTATTGCTTCTTCAGTTTTCATCTCCTCTATGAGATAGGTCTCTCCTACCTTTTTCTCAGCTTGGCATTCTTTCGCAAAATGCCCTACCTTACTACAATTGTAGCATTTATCCATATAACAATCCTTTGCATAGTGACCACATTTTCCACACATAAAACACTGAACATTTGAGTAACTCGTCAATCAACCTCCTCTCCGACCACGTCCTCTACCATGTAAAGTTGGTTGGTTTTCTTCTTGTTAGAAAAAGAGGTTGAGATCAAGAGGGGGGGTGAATTGATCTTTGAATGATTTTCGCACTTTTCATGATATAGATTATCTATTTCAAAGATTTTGAATTCTAATCACTTTTTGAATCAAGAAAAACAAGCAATTCAATATAGAGCAGCAACAAAATTAAAGAGAGTAAGGTTTAGAGAAATACAACCAAGATTTATACTGGTTCACCCAAACCCCAGGGCTACATCTAGTTCGCGTGGTCGGACAAAAACCACGCGAACAGCGGAATGTTCGCGTGGTCGGACAAAAACCAAGAAGGGGGGTGAATTGGTTTCTTAACAAAAATTAGGTTTTCAAAATTTTCCCCAAATTTTACCGATTAAAAACTGTGTAAATGTAAATAGAGAAGAGAAGAGAATCTTACACAGGAGATTTATACTGGTTCGGATCAAAAGATCCTACGTCCAGTTGCTAATCACTCAAATAGAGGATTAACGCTGTCACTATAATCAAGTTGTTACAAACAGTTACAATTGAAAAGATAAAGATAAGAAAACACCTCTCTTGAAATCCACAAGAGATGAAGAACAACTTTCCCTAGAGACGGCACAACACACAATCCACTAAGAACTCCACTTAGTGATTCTTATCGCTTCTAGCCCACACCAGGTTCCAAAAGCCTCTTTTTCTTGCAACAAACAGTTCTCTGGCACTACAACACTTAACTTTTGTATGAAAAAGGTTATTCTATTTTTCTGAGTGCCATAGAAGAGTTTAAGTAGATAAATTAGGGTTTGGGAATTGGGATTTTCGGAATTAGGGTTCTTGGGAAAAGGGTTTTCGAAAATAGGTTTGATTTGAAGATAAAAATCAAAATATGACTGAAATAATCGATTAAAAGAAGTATTAATCGATTAAAACAGAGCCAAATATCAATAGAACCCAAACCTCTCTGTTTTAATCGATTAAAAGGTGATTTAATCGATTAAACCGCCTGATAATCGATTAAAATTTGGTTTAATCGATTAAACCAGTGAGTTGTTACAGAAAATGATTTTTCTCACTGTTTTAATCGATTATTTCCCTATTTAATCGATTAAAGCCGAGCCTGGATGATAAATATGAGCTTTTTGAAGCTTCTAAGATGCAGACTATGTACTGACTATCTTAAACTCTAATATTACAGACTGAATCTAATTGAAATAGAGTTATTACAATACAAAACAAGTCTTCAACACTCTAAGTCTTTGTGTTCTTGAATCATCATCAAAATCAACAATCTTCATGTCTATCAAGTGCAACATCAAGTCCTTGAATGTTCAAAAATCTCCCCCTTTTTGATGATGATCAAAATTATCTTTTAAAGCCTTGTAATAACCTGTTTTATCTGTCATACTAACAAACACATTAAACATACCAGATAATATTTAAAAACAATCATATTATGGCTTTAAATATTTTCTCCCCCTATTTTGATTAGAATAAAAAATAAGTCATCTACTGCAAACATAAGAGCTCCCCCTCAAAATATGCATAGGTTGGAGATAACTCCCCCTCAATCAAAGCATTAAAGAAACATCAACATACACCTGGACCAATAAGATATGTTCTTTAACTTTCTTTATAAACAGTGTAGAATCAATTTTTCCTCTAGAAAAATCATTTGATGTTAGGAAACTACTTAGCCTTTCATACCAAGATCTAGGAGCTTGTTTCAACCCATATAATGCTTTCTTTAATTTAAAAACATGATTAGGAAAACTAAAATCCTCAAAACCAGGGGGTTGCTCCACATAAACTTCTTCTTTAATAAAACCATTCAAAAATGCACTTTTAACATCCATTTGATATAGTTTAAATTTCATTAAAGATGCATAGGCAAGAAGTAGGCGTATATCCTCTAACCTGGCAACAGGAGCATAAGTTTCATCATAATCTATACCTTCCTCCTGACAATAGCCTTTTGCAACAAGTCTGGCTTTATTCTTTGTTATGTTCCCATCTTCATCAAGTTTATTTCTAAACACCCATTTGGTTCCAATAACTTGATATGATTCTTCCCTTGGAATTAATTCCCAGACTTGATTCCTTTCAAATTGGTTAAGTTCTTCTTGCATGGCTATGCACCATTGTTCATCTTTAAGTGCTTCCTCCACATTTTTGGGTTCTATCTGTGACACAAAAGCTACAGACATACAAAAATTAGTCATATTTCTAGTTCTTACCCCTTTTGAGATATCACCTATGATATTGTCCATTGAGAGTCCTCTAGGTGATTGCCATTCTTTTGCTAATTCAGGCGTTTGAGAAGGCTCATTTTCTTCCAAATATAATTCATCAAGAGCCTCTCTTATATATTCATCATCACCTGCAATTTCTTTATTTGACTCAAGAGGATTTCCCCCAAGGTCTACAATCTCATCAAAGGTAACATGTATAGATTCTTCTATATTCAAAGTTCTCCTATTAAACACCCTATAAGCCTTGCTAGTTAATGAATAACCTAAGA